AAAAAAGAGAGTCTACACTGGGGTAACCCACAAACTGTGTGGCCCACCAAGCCAGAACCACCCAACGCATTCTTTTAGTCACAGAACAGAAAGCCTTAGGCAACAGAAGCAAAATTTCTGTTTAAGGTCACAGGTTTCATGGGTGTTGTGTTAGGTTTTTTTTGTTTGTCTTTCTTCCTTTCTTTTTCTTTTCCTTTTTAAAACATGGTGGTGAGAAGTATGCAAATTCTTATTTGAAGAGAGATAAATAAATAAAGCAAGGAATTCCAACAGTTCCCAGGGGAAGATATGAATGACTTCTTGGAGCTTTGGGTGGTCCACGGACTTAACTCCATAATGTGGGTATTACAGGAACAGACGTGTTGGAAATCTACTAAAGCAAGGATTACAGTGAAGGATTGTTGGTGTTACTACTAGATCACTGCTTTCCTGGTATTCCTAGAGGGTCTTCCCAGGCTAGTGGGGAGTCACCTGCCTATGGAATGATGACAAGTCCCTCCTGTCCCAGCACCTCTTCTCCTGATTCGTGTAGAAGTCAGGAGCTTGCCTTCCTCGAATCAGTTGGGGCTTTATAGCTCCAATTCCCAATCCCAAACTTCCAATGCTTAGGCTGGGCTATCACCTATCCTGGGTAAAATAATATGTACCAGGGTAGTGAGGCTACATCAGTAGTAGTCCTTGGAAAAGCCACTTAATCTGAATACTTATTTCGAAAGAATTGTGAGTTATCTGCACAACAGCCTCCTTTGGGAACCTATAGAACAAGGACCCACATCAATGGAAAAGTTATCTCAACCAAGTTATCCCATTTTGAGCAGAAAAAAGTATGTCTACCCATTGAGCAGAAACAGTAGGCAGTTCATTGTTCCATTCACAATGTCACTAAAATATGCCACCCATCTCTGACTGCCAGTCATCACACAAGGAGCACCAAGGGGGATGGATCCCTGCAGAGTGCATCCTTCTTGTCTTCTCATTTAAAAGACTGGCTGCAATACGTAGAGGTTACTTGACTTAATATTTCTTTCAAAACAATAACACAACTGTCAAATAGGGCCTACAATGAGCTACTCTTATATAATTGTAGCCCCAGTCAAAAAACTTGATACTCCACATGCTGCACTGGCTCCGCCCCTGGTAGCGATGAGTAGGCGCCGAGTCTGGGTGTGGTGGCCCACACCTGTAATCCCAGTGCTGGGGAGGCTGAAAACAAGAGGATCTCTACGAGTCTCAACCACACAGTAAGACCCTGTACCAAATACATTAAAAAAAAAAAAAAAACCTTGATACTAGCCTAAAAAGCTTCATCATCAGCAAAAAAGTTAGACTTATAATTGTTAGGGGATTTCTTTTGGGAATGATTGCACAACCTGTGAACTTATCAAAAACCGTACACATTCAGGGTACAAAGTAAATGTGCATGAATAACATCTTAAAGTTGTTCTTATAAAAAGTTTTAATGACCTCCATTACCTTCTCCAGTCCTCAAAATTATAAAAATTCTAGGTTGAACATCCAGGATTCTCTTCAAAAAACTTTCAAAAGAAAAAAAAAAAAAATTAACAATCTATGCTTTAAAAATGCAATGACTTCGTTATATTTTAGAGATTTTTTTTATTTAGCTATTTCTCTATTATACCCCATGTCTGATGTGAACTGGTTGAAAATAACTGCTGCTCACTCCCACTCTCACCCCACCTCTATACATGAGCCAAGAGCTATTCAGAGATGCCCATCCAGGCATCTGTAACCAAGGATGACCCTTGGTGACTTACATGTACAGTGTAGGAGCCACGCCTCGAGACTCAGCGTTACCATATCAACACTCTGTCAAAAATAACCTGGAGACATTGAACAAGTAGGTAAGATTAATATTTCTGAGCATCCACTCTGAATCTACCGGAGTGAAGGGGGGCAGGGGACCCCTCCACCCCCCGATGCTGCATGAGCAATGAGCCAGTTATCCATGGCCAGTGAAGAGCTATCTCAGTTCATAAGAGCAGCTGGTTGTACAAACATACACATTT